GTTTTTTTTTTTTTTTTTTTTTTTTTTGATCTTTAGAATTTGGATCGTCATTCTTCTCACCAGCCTTCGAACCCCAAACCCCAAGGTCAAGAATCCAGATTCTTAGCCAGCAGGACGCAGGGGAGGCTGGTCCATATCAATTCACATATACCAGCATATATATATATATATATGCATGCAAATTAGAGAATTAATTACAATCTTTCGATTTCATTTTAAATTATATCTAATAAAGCCTTATTCCTTCAATAATTAAAAGGTCAATATTAATTGAACATTTCACTTAACATTGATTGAAATCATTACTTTAGGCTGGGTAGTTGATTTCAACCTGCCCATGCCCAATAATTTTTTATTTGAACAAATTACATCATACTTTTGTAAGCTAATACAAGAATTCAAATCCCCAAAAAACACGCCCTAATCAAACACTAATTTTTTTTTTGGTACATATCAAACACTAATTAACAACAACAAACAGTAACAAACGATAACGATAACAAAAACGTTTCCAAAAACCCCACATCATGCATGCAACAATTAAGTTACAGAACCAACTAAATGAAATCAAAGCTTAGTGAAACCAGATTCCCCCACAACTTCTCTTAATTAAGCACATTTGAAACCGGGGGGAACCTCCTTTTGACAGGCACTAAGGAGCAAGCTGAGAGAAACAGGAACATTCAAGTTGATTCCAAGAACATTAGCTTTAATGGCGGTGCAGAGGCACAAGGCAGCTTCCAGATCAGCCAAGCCTTCAAGCAAAGCACAGCATTTGCTCGAAGGAGGTGATCCCACGACCACGTTGACAAGACCCAAGAGATCCGCACAGACACCTAGCTTAAGAGTGTCTCGAGGGCAATATTCCACCGGAGGTGGTGGTGCTTTCGGAATGCATGTGTTACAAGCGCTAGTGAATGTAGAGTAGCAAAGGAGAGAAAAGATAATAATCACTGCGGAGATGGTACTAGAAGCCATAGCTAAAAAAAAATGAAATTAACTTGAGAGAGAAGACTTAATGAGGGACTTGGAGAATCATGAGTAGCACTACCCTATTTAAAGGAGAATTGAGAGGTGGATGTTGGTTGTTGTGGTTGAGTGGAAGAGAATATGAGAAAGATGATAATACATACGTTTTTTTTGTAATCTTCTAGGGAATTACAACCTGTTACATGAGCCAAATATTTCCAGGTTCATAAATGCTCCAGATATTTTTTTCCCCCATTTAAACAGAACCAGAAATTATTGTGTTTTCCAAGGTATGGTGGATATTGTGCTCAATGCATGCGGTAATTTATACGTACATTGTTACATTTGGGGCAGTACTGTGATTTCACGGAAATGGGTTCCAGCTGCTCTTGTTAGTGAGGTGACAAATCGTCTCACCCACGAATTCTCCTTTTTCTGAGCTCATTGTTTTGGCTTTGTCGTGATGTTTTGTCCAGATCAGAATTGTTCTTCAATAATTGAAAGCGATGAGGTCGTTTGCATGCGGAAGTGGGAATGGGAGCACATGGGATGCCAATTCCATTGCCGGGGAGACGATGTTGACTGGTGAATACCGCGTTCGGGTCTATGATGTTCGAGGTCATCACCAGGACGTGTTGGGGATCAGTCACTGGACACAATTTGCTAGGTAAAGTACAATTGTGCAGTTTAATTACCCTGTCCCAAGCTGGCTGTTTCTTATGAGGTACTTTTAAAAGATTCGATACTGGAAAAATCTGGGTGTGCGGTTGACGAAAAATCTGTAAATTTTGGTTTATTATACCATCAGTGAATCATGCCATCAACCATGTGAGATCTAGTAGAGAAGTTGTATGTATATGCTCGCCGCCACAGATACAAGTTAAATATCTAGTCTCTTCGTCAAAAAAAAAAAAAAAAATCAACGGAGATTAGAATTGGATTAAGGTGATGTTTTGGGAATATTCCCAGGTGGCCATGTCTAACCCAAGTTAATTTGGAATATCTGGAGTTCTCTTTGATGAAACAAGAGGGATTCAAGGCTTGGTGTTCGAATTGATTGATAGATGATATGTGTATGCCTCTAATTACATATGAAGGCGAACTTTACCACTACTAGAAAGTAAGGTGTTAGCAAGTATTAGCAATGTAAATTGGCATA